GCAGGGGCGACAAACAGACTTTCTTCACGCAGCATGGCTCGCGTAACAGATTTTAATGATGATTTTAATGATGATTATAATGATGATTTTAATGATGATTATTATAATGATTTTAATTATGATTTTAATGAAAATCTTAATTTACCTTTGAGGATAAAACTCCAAGAGTCTGCCTGCTTCCACTCCGTCCTGACCAGATAATTCTTTATCCCACGAACCCAAACAAAAATGAACCACACGACATATGTATATTAAACGAAATTAAAGAACCTGCACAAGCTAAACTTAGTACACCTTTTGAACTTGTGATTTAGTTATGAAAATCATTAGACTTTTTTAATACCATTGTAACAAAGCAAGACGGTTTGTAACGTAAAAACTTGAAAAAGATTACAGGGCTAAGTCTGTTAGAAGAACCATTAAAAAATTGATCCCACCTCTTACTTCGTCATAGTGAAATTTATTTTCCATTTGTTTTGTGTTTGTACTTTGTACTCTGTTTAACGGATCCCGGTAAATCAAATGATCTGGACCTGTCTAGTGTACACTTATCCTTTGTACTCTGTTTAACGGATCCCGGTAAATCACATGATCTGGACCTGTCTAGTGTACACATGTCCTTTGTACTCTGTTTAACGGATCCCGGTAAATCACATGATCTGAACCTGTCCAGTGTACACATGTCATGATGTCGAGCCAGCATGCACAAAATGTAGGCTGTCTGAATTTATCTGAGATGATAGAATTCAGAAAGTGCTTTAAAACGTTATAAAGTTCAAACAATGAAAATAATGTTTATTCAACACTGCTTATTGTTTCCAAATTCTATTATGAAAATTGAATTTAAAACAATAAAGGAACATTTTTTCTACTAAATACTTTAATTAAAATGAACAGCATTATTGAGTTGGTGAAAAACTGGATAAGTGTTCATTAAACTTCTCGTTTAGGATACAAGCTGAATAAAGTGTATCAAAGGGACTGATAACTTATTTTAAAGATAACTTTTCAATATAAAGAATTGCATGCACAATTCTCAATGGTACCCTTTTAATATTTTCCTGATCAACAGTGAACACGATATCGTTGTTATCTAGAAAAGTGTTTAATTCTGACAACAACCTTTTTTCTCGCCAGTTGCATAAATCTCTTTATAGAGAACCACAATGGAAAAAAATCAGTTTTAAGATATCTCCATTAAATAGTTGGTCTTTTGAAATTAAATAAACAGTCCCTTTAAGAGAATTAATTTCCATTGTTTTGATATTTGAGTTTAATACTCATATCACGTTGTGTAGTCCACGGGGTTCTTTAGCATTAAAGATGTTAAACATATTATCAGTTATCAGATCGCTAGATATACAGATTAATAATCATGATCTATAGTATACAGAGGGGGAACCGATAAACATGATCTCCATACAGGGGGTTCCAAACAGTTCCAACAGTTCAAATCACTAAAATTCCTTAAAGAAAAAGAAAAAAATTCCTAAAATTCCTTACAGAAAAATAAAAATCACTAAAATTCCTTTTAAAAAAAATAAAAAAATCATTAAAATTCTTCACAGAAAAATAAACCCAGAAAATTAGTATCAACTTATATTGTTTTGTATTATTGCCTCTATACGCACTAAGCATCATCGAGATTCATCTTAACTTTAAATAATGTTTCTGATAAATTATTATTTAGTGAATATTGAATATAAAGTGATAGAGGAATACTAAGAGGAATACAACCTTTTATTAGACACTTATATATGTTTTTTTTTCTAATTTTTGAAACATCAGAGTTTCAACAATATTGTATTGGATTTTTTTTAATCAATACAATGACCGGATGTACTAAATTAGATTCTGAAGCCCTGTCAACAATAAGAAATTTTGGTTACTCAATTAAATCTTGGAAGTTCTTATCCATATGTTTAAAGAACATTTCAAACTTTGACATACCGAAGGTCTACAATATTAGGTGGTTAGGACCTTTTACTTGCTTTCTATTCCATACATTTTGTTTGTTAACTATTAAACTTAAAATGAGCTTAGTTTAAATTTATTACCGTTGTTTAAACTGCAATTCTAGTTCCATTTCGTTTAACCATTAATAAAAATAGCATGAAACTAGTTGTTTACTTTTATCATTAAATTAGATATTTAGTACATATAATTTTATGATTCTGGGCTCACAGGGTGCTTTACTCCAGGTATTGATAAGCCTTTTTTTTCCATACTATTCTAAAATAATCAAAATCGAAAAAAACTTGGGCGGAATTTTTATTTTTAGTGTAGAATTTCTTAAACCGGCCTTTTACCCTTCCTTACGCTTTGATCAGCCGTTGGGACGTTTTTTTCAACAATCAAGAAAATAAATTATTGATAAGATAATATACATAAATCTGCCCCCCTCCCTTTTTCTAGCACTGCCCCCCCCCATCTCCCAACTGCCCTATTCCATGTTCCCATATTAAAGTTTGCAAAACTATAACATTTCTTCAAAGTTTTAGTTGAAAGTTTTGACAGGATCTTCCATCTTTTTATAAAAACGTTTCAACAGTGTTTAGAGGAGTTGAAACGTATTACAACTGTTACATTTTTAAACCCTCAATTTTTAAACATTTTTAAATCTTCAGAATAGGTCTAACCATGTCCGATGACCAAATTTAATGAATCAGGAATCAGGATCAGAATCAGGATGAGGATGAAGGTGAGGATGAGGATGAGGATCAGGATGAGGATGAAGGTGAGGATGAGGATGAGGATCAGGATGAGGATCAAGATCAGTATAAGCATTAGGATCAGGATCGAGATCAGTATCAGGATCAGTATAAGAATTAGGATCAGGATCGGGATTATGTATCAGGATCAGTATAATAATTAGGATCAGTATAAGAATTAGGATCAGTATAAGAATTAGGATCAGGATCAGGATCATTATAAGGATTAGGATCAGGATCAGAATCAGGATGAGCATGAAGGTGAGAATGAGGATGAGGATCAGGATCAGGATCAGTATAAGGATCAGGATCAGTATAAGGATTAGGATCAGGATCGGGATCAGGATCAGTATAAGGATTAGGACAGAATCAGGATGAGGATGAAGGTGAGGATCAGGATCAGGATCAGTATAAGGATCAGGATCCGTATAAGGATTAGGATCAGGATCGGGATCAGAATCAGGATCAGTATAAGGATTAGGATCAGGATCGGGATCAGTATCAGGATCAGGATCAGAATGAGAATGAAGGTGAGGATCAGGATCAGGATCAGGATTAGGATGATTACCTGTAAATAAATTTTAAAAAACTAAGAGATCTGGATGCTAATAAAAACAATTGTTAGGGAAAAAGTCAAAGTTTTAATTTTTTAATTTCCTTCTATTATGCAGGTTAGATAAGTTTAATTGAGATATATGGAGGCTTTGGCAAACTTGAAACTTTTTCAATTTAGAATAAAATGATTTCTCATTTAACAATTTCCTTTCTAATTACACAAAAATTAACATACAAACAATAGATAATCTTAATTTAGATTCTCAATATTAGAGAGATATACGAAGCAGTCTGAATTTCTAGATTTAATGAATTGATTCTGCAATAAAGGTTATGAACTTATGATCAAATAAATGATGCAATATTTAATAATAAATTTAATTCTGATAAAAATTAATTTTGAAAAATTACTTTTTTAGCCTAACCTAACCTAACCTAACCTATGCTACCCCCCAGGATACCTAAAAAATGCAGCCAATTTGGTCCAGCCGTTTGGCCAGCTATAGCTAACAAAATATATATATATATATATATATATAATTATTTATGAGTTATGAGCTTTAATATACAGGGTGTCCCAATAAACATGGGAATTCAGTGACGAATTCTATATCGTCTTTTAAAATAATTCTTTGATTTTGTATAGTGATACCTACTGAGAAAGCTGTAACTGTAAGAGTTTCGTCTGCTATGTTCACATTTTGTTGTTTTATGTTATACTGTATACGACATACGTACGATTGTACTTAGTAAAACAAGAAAATGTCAGTATACAAACAGAGTAAATTTGTCGGTCTTCACTGTTCATCTTGCGGAGACATTATCGACACAGCTTTACAGTCTTTTACCTTTTTCATGAAATAAACTCCAGCAGAAATAATAATATTATGGCTTTTGAAATTAGGTATTACAATGCTAATTCATAACAAAGACGATATCCAATTCGTCACTGAATTCCCATGTTTTTTGGGACACCCTGTATAGAAGATGTGATCAAAGGTATTACAGACTGTGCTAAATGTTTATTCATACTGTTATGAAGCATAAACTCTGCGGTTACTAACTTACTCATCATATAAATCAGTCAGAATGTCATATTTGATACTTTGTCCTTAATTTCGTTTAATTTGTTACTAAAGCTTCTTCTTTCTTTCATCTTTTTACTTTCAACTTCTTCCTTTCAATATCTTCCTTTCTTCTTCTTCTTTTCAATATCTTCCTTTAATCTTTTTACTTTAATCTTCTTCCTTTCATCATTTACTTTCATCTTTTTCATTCCAAATTTTCCTTTCATCTTTTTCCTTTCATCTTCTTTCTTTTATATTCTACCTTACATCGTCTTCCTTTCATTTTTATCCATTTAACTTTTACCTTTCATCTTCTTCCTTTCATCCTCTTCCTTTCATCTTCTTCCTTTCATCTTCTTCCTTTCAACTTCTTCCTTTCATCTTCTTCCTTTCTAGTTCTTCCTTTCATCTTAAACCTTTTATCTTCTTTCTTTTATCTTCTTCCTTTTATCTTCTTCATTTCGTTTCTTTTCTTTTATCTTCTCGCTTACATTTCCTTCATTTCATCTTCTTCCTTTCATTTCTTACTTTCGTTTTCTTCCTTTCATCTTCTTCTTTTAATCTTTTTCCTTTAATTTTCTTACTTTCATTTTCTTCCTTTTATATATTTCCTTTTTATTTCCTTTCTTTTATCTTCTTCCTTTCATCCTCTTACTTTCATTTTCTTACTTTTATCTTCTTCCTTTCATCTTCTTTTTTTCATATTTTTACTTTTATCTTCTTTCTTTCATATTCTTCTTTACACCGTTTTCCTTTCTAATTCTTCCTTTCATCTTCTTCCTTTTTAATTCTAGATTCCGAAAAACAAGAAAAGAAATCTAGTTTTAAAGATGAAAAAGAAATAATAAGGTAGAAA